ACAGGCTGAGCCATCGAGCCCGGCCCTAAAATATTTTTGAAGTGCCTCGGACTTCATGAAACTTTTAATGGAGGCATGAAGAATGAAGTTATTTATGAAGTCAAACTGTTTAAGAATTTAAGCAGCCGGGTTTGGTGGCTCAGCCTGTGATCCCACACCTTTGGGAGGCTGAGGTGAGTGGATTGCCTGAGTCTGCTGGTTCGAGACCCGCCTGGGCAACTTGGCGAGACCTCATCTCTACAATAAATCTAAAATAAAATGAGCTGGGCGCGCGCCTGTAGTTCCAGATACTCGGAAGGCTGAGGCGGAAGGATCGCCGGAGCCCAGCAGGTCGAGGCTGCGGTGGCCGGGAGCGGCCACTGCACTACAATCTGGACGACGGAGTGAGACTTCAACTCAAAAAAAAAAAAGAATTTAAGCAACACATATTTAAGAGAAAAGGAATGTCGAAGAGTGAATTATATGCTGTAGGAATGTATTTTCTTGCAGAAAGTATTTAAATGCTTTGATGTATGTGGGTGACCCCCAAAAACCTGGAATTATTTATTGGAGGGAAGGTCCCTTGTAGCACAGGCTTCCCCCACTAGGTAAGTGTTCTAGGAACACATCACTATCAGTGTGCCAGGCAGCATTGCTGTGAGAAGCTGCGTTCGGCTTCAGCGAATTTTTTGAAGATTCTTTCTACATGTTTGTTCCTTTCATGATGGGTAATCACCCATCATGATTACCAGTGCACCTGTCCATGCTGCACTGAGTGTTCTGCAGTTTTTGACTCAAAATGGCATGACCCCCACACACCCCTCTCCCTATTCACCCAGTCTCGCTCGGAGCAACTTTTTTTTGTTTCTCTGGATGAAAAAAATCCTCAAAGGGAAACGTTGTGTGGACATGGAAGAGGTGATAAAAAAAGAGCTGACACACTAAAAGGCATTAAAATTGACAAGTTTGGCTGGGCGCAGTGGCTTACGCCTATAATCCCAGCACTTTGGGAAGCCAAGGTGAGAGTATTGCCTGAGGTCACAGGTTCGAGACCAGCCCAGGCAACTTGGCAAGCCCTCATTTCTACAATAAATCAAACAATTAGCTGGTCGTAGTGGCACATGCCTGTAGTTCTAGTTACTTGGAAGGTTAAGGTGGAAGGATCACCTGAGCCCAGCAGGCTGAGGCTGCAGTGGCTGTGAGCAGCGTGCCACTACACTCCATCCTGGGAGACAGAGAGAGACTCTGACTCAAAAAAAAAAAAAAAAAAAATTGACAAGTTCAAAAACTGTTTTGAGCCATGGAAAAAGCATCTCACTAGGTGTATTGCATCAAACGGAAAGTACTTTGAAGGTGACTGAAGTTTAAACATGTAAGGATAAAGATGTAATTTTTTATAAATAAATTCATTTTTTTGGGGGGTCCCCCTTCATAAAAGCACACAAATAGTAGGCCACAGTCAACAGTATAGAACTTGAAGGCATTTGTTTCTGATTTACTTTGAAGCTGAGGTTATAACCATCTTAGCTTCAGGCAGATTTTTTTCAGCTGGTCTTATTTCACAGATAAACAAGGTTCCTCTTAAATTCTACAGAATATTCACTTTGATTAATTTTCTGAAGACTCGTGGCACTTCAAGAATAAAACAGACAGTAAGAATAATTAACCTTGTCCATCCAATAACTGGTCCTTTGGCCTTTGGTTTTGCCTAATTATGTTCTTCTTGTGTGTGCAAAATAGTGAAATATTAATAATATAAATGTATTTGTTCACAGCTTTATTTCATTACCCGAGTGGTGAGCAGAATATTTGAAAACTTAATGACATGGTCCCTTATTTAGAAGGTAAATGAATAGAATTTTTTCAACATCTTTAATTTTACAAATATTTTAACAAATAAACATAATAAAATCAAAGTATTGCCTTCCTCTTTCATTTTCCCTTTTTTACATAGAGGCAAAATACTATTTTGTCCCCCAAGCATCCTTTTTCATTACATTTTTATAGGAAGAAAATGTAAACATAGTCATTACTAAAACTTCAAATTCATGACAGTGGTTACCATGGCTGGGTAGGGAGTACGTTCTTTGGAACTAGAAAATTAAAGTCTCTATCAGTGAGACAAAGTATAAAGCAAACACAAACAATTATAAGAAAAAATTGATTGGGTATAAAGGTCTGTAATCCCAGGGCGTCTAAGCCAGAAGGATCACTGGAGGCCAGGAGTTCAAGATCAGCCTGGGCAACATGGGGAGACTCTGTCTTTACAAAAAATCTAAAAATTATCTGGGTGTGGTGGCATTCACCCATAGTCCCTGGAGGCTGAGGAGGGCAGATGGCTTTAGTCCAGGAGTTTGAGGTTATAGTGAGTTGTGATGGCATCACTCCACTCCAGCCTGGGTAACAAAGAGACACCTGGTCTCTGTTAAAACAAAACAAAACAAAATTTTAAAGAAAGGGAAGAAAATATAGTTCCTCAACCAAGCCTCTTTGCAACTTGATGGAGGTTAATTACATATCTAAACGAAGTATGTGAGTTGGGGTGGGGTCTAATAGGAGTTTAGAAAGGGAGAGTCCTCAAAATAAACTTTGATCTTTCCTTCTGCAAATATCTATGGAACCATTCTAGATGGAGAGAATCAGGGCTAAACAATTTGCCTAACTAATGAAGAGCAGATCTAAGATTCAAATCCCACCATTTTGCTGCACTGAAAATGTTACATAGCTCCATTCAATTCATCCCTTTAGCAAATATTTATTAAATTCCTGTTATGCTCAAGGCATTTCGCCAGGGGCAATGTGGGATATACGATGAATCAGACATTTGTGGAGTGATGGAAAGAGATGTACTTTGGCATCATACTGACTGCTTTGAATTCCAATTTCTGGGATAAATTAATCTTTTAACTGCAGTTTTTAAGTTAGTAAAATGAAGCAGTTGTTTATTTAAATAAAGAAAAAAAATAGGAAATGCATCTTTTGGTGATCAGCACACAGGAGTGAAGTTTTTCTCTCCCCAACTTCACTTTGAGGATTTTACTAGAAGGTAAGTGACAGGGAAGTCATCATAGAAAGGAAGAGGTTTGGGTCATGAGACCGGTTTTTGATTTGGACTGGTTGAGAAGTGGGAGACAGCAAAAGTAGTGAAGTGTGGGGCCTTCACTAGATCCTGTGAGTAGATCCTATATAGGACTGTAGTTTACAAGAGGTAAAAATTAGGAGCTGTAAACATCAGGCTGCCCGCTGTCTTAGGCCATTTAGGCTTCTCCAACAACAAACTGGGTCACTTATAAACAACAGAAATTTATTTCTCACAGTTTCAGAGGTGAGAAAGTTTAAGATCAAGACTGACTAAGTGTCTGGTGAGGGCTTACTTTCCTAGACAGCAGTCTTTTCATTCTAACCTCACAGAGTGGAGGAAGCAAGAGATCTCTCTGGAGTTTCTTTAAAAAAAATTTAATTGATTTTTAATTGACAAATAACTGTATATAATTATGGAGTGCTATATGATGTTTTGATATATGTTGTGGAATGCTTAAATCAACTAACATATTCATCACTTCACATAGTTATTTTTTGTGGTGAGTGGGGTCTCTCTCTCTTTTTTTTGAGTCTAGGTTACATTCTGCTGCCCAGGCTGCAGTGCAGTGGCACATTCACTGCTTACCTCAGCCTCAACCTCCTGGGCTCAGGTGACTCTTTGGCTTCAGCCTCCTGAGTAGCTGGGCCCACTACTGTCTGGATAATTTTTTGTTTGTTGGTTTTTCATCGCTAAACTTATTAAAATTTTTTTGTATCTGTATCTTTGGAAACTGGGACAGTGTCATTTGATACCTACACCCTCAGATTCTGGCATAGATCTTAAATGCAATCCTAGATATTCTTTGAATAAGTGAAATGTGTTGAATGAATCAATAACACAGTCCAATATGGAAACTATCTGATGTGAGGTCTTGCTATGTTGTCTAGGCTGGGTCTCTTTCATAGGAGCATTAATCCAGTTCATGGGGGATCTGCCCCGTGATCTAATTACCTCTCCAAGGCCCCATCTCCTAATAATATCAATTTGAGGAATAAGATTTCAATGTATAAATTTTAGGAGAACACAAACATTCAGATCACAGTGCCTGCCTACTTGCAAAATCTTCTTTAGTATAGTGTTGGTTCCTACACACATACAATATTATGACATTACCTGAATCAGAGTATCTCTGATTAGATCACCAAGGGGCAAGTTTCCATATTGGACTGTGTTATTGATTCGTTCAACACATTTCACTTATTCAAAGAATACCTAGGATTTCACTTAAGATCTGATGCTAGAGTCTGAGGATGTAGGTATCAAATGACCCTGTCCCAGTTTCCAAAGAGATAGACACGCAAACAATTTTAATAAGTTTAGCGATGATAAAAAATATCTATAGTACCACCAAGGAAAAGAAGATTTTCCATTTAAGATTTTAGGCAGTTCAATTCTACAATATAAAAACAAGCACATTTTGCAGACTATGAAATCACACATTATCCTCATTTTCACAATGTCAACTGTAATGCTAATTTTAGCGACGCTTTAGAGCGAAGCCCGCAAAAAACAGTGAGAAAGCGTGATCGAATGCCTGAGTTACCCTTCTCCAAAATCGGCCCTCCACATTTCTTTTTTGGAAAATAAAAACCATTCCAATACCAAGGCATTAGCAGAAGCACAAAATAAAACCAAAAACCCGGAGAAAGCCTACGCCAGGCCTTTCCAGGAACACACCACCTGGGACTCCAAGGTGAGGAGCGCGGATGCCGCAGTTCTCCAAGTGCGGTCCGCCCCTCCCACGTGACAGGTTTTTGGCAGTCCGCCCCTCCCTCCTCGCGATTCTGAGGAAGATTCTAACGCCGTCTGGAGCCGTCCCTAGTGACGTCACGGGCGCGGTTCCGCTCCGCGGCCAATCACAAGGCCGGATTCCGGGGAAGCCCGGGGCGGCGGCGGCTGCCTGGGCGCGTGCGCGAGGTCTCCGCGTGGCTATATAAACATGGCTGGCGTGGCCGCGCGGCGGGCCCGTGCGAAGCGCGCGTAGGGGGCTCCTGGGCGCCGTGGGTTTGCGGCTTTGAA